CTGCGGGGCCGGAACCGCGGCGCGGTGCGCATCAGGCGAGGCCGGCGGGGAGGGCAGGACGTTGCGCTGTGCAACGTGCTGCACCGGCACGCCTTCTGTGACCAGGGCAACATCTGCTGCGGATCCGGGGCCTCCTTGCGACGGCGATTCTCCGGCGGGCTCTCCCGTTCGGCAGCGGCGCCGGCCCTCCGCGGCTTGGGCGCAGGCCGCTTCGCGCGCGGCCGTAAAGTCCTCTTTGCACCACCCGCATCAGATTCTGGTAGCGCGACCTCATTTGATCGTTTGTGATTTAAGTTGCGTGTGGGCCAAAGGGCACGGAGCCGGAGCTCCCGACGTCTCCCAAGAGCGATTTCACGTGCACTTAGCGAATCGCACCGGAGGTCAAATGGTATGGGCAGAAGAATGGGGATACTGCCTCATCTACGTTTAGTCGGGGTGGGGTCAGACCGGGCGCGCTTTTGTAGCCCAGAGCAGATTGGTTTACATCAATCAGAGTGTATAGTAGAGGCGGCACGGCCTCGACAGAGCAGGAGATGCAGTACAGACACATATCTCAAAACCGGTGCGCGAAACAGGTTCGGGTTCTTTCACGCTGTCGTAAGCCATTACCAAACGTGCGGTGGGTGCGGTGCTGGTGACGTCAAAAAGGCGGGTCAACACGCGACATTCGCGCCTGACAATCGCCCGACCGTCCACCGGCCATCGACCTCTCCATCCGGTCAATTCCGCCATGTCGACCATGCAGGGTACTTTCCTCCCACTTGTCCGTGGCGGAAACGCGTCCTGACTGCCGCCCAGCCGTCGTTCTCACCGAGAAGGGCATGTCCCATTTCGAGGTCGAAGCGACGCCGAAGCCCGACGCGCCCACGGGGAAGCAGATCCTGATCAAGAACAAGGCGACCGCGCTCAACCCGTGGGCATTTCGCGGGGCGTGTCGGGAGGGTTCTGACGCGCGGGAGACAGGGTCGACTGGAAGATGGCCGACTATGGACTTTTCATCAAGTCTTTCCCCATTGTTCTGGGCTGGTTCGTGTCTCATTCGCGTGGGCGTGCTCCGCTGGCTCACGGACGGCGCGTCGCAGTGATGTCGGCGGGGTCGTCGAGGCCGTGGGGCCCGAGGTTACGCGGATCAAGGCGGGAGACAGGGTCCTCGTGATGCCGCCGCTCGGCACGCCCGGGGCGGGCACTTTCGCAGAGTACTCCCTGGGGCGGGAGGAGCTTGCGCTCAAGGTGGGGTCGACATTGTGCTTGTCGGACGTGGGAGCGTACTTCATACTCATGGTCGTCACGCTGTAATTGACCCGACAGATTCCCGATTCCATGGACTTTGGCGACGCGTCTACAGTGCCTGGTGCGTATCACGGCCGTTGTGTGATTCCGACGTGGCGCTTATTCTTCCCAAGTCGGGTGCTACACGGCCGTCCTCGGCCTCTTCTACAAGGACTACCTCGGCATCGCCCCACCCTCGCAGTCCTCCGAGAACTCCAAGGTCAAGCTGCTCATCTGGGGCGCCTCTTCCAGCGTCGGCACGTTCGCGGTCCAACTGGCCGCCGCGGCCGGTTTCGGCACGATCGTCGCGGTGTGCTCCGAGGCCAACTTTGACGTGGGCGACAGACATTCCTGCGCTCTTCCTCCTGCTGCGATCGAACTGATCAACCATCCTCCAAACAGTACGTCAAGGGCCTCGGCGCTACCCACGTCATCTCTCGCAAGACCCCAATCCCCGAGATCCTGAAGGCGCACCCGGACCTCACCCACGTGCTCGACGCTGTGGGGGAGCAGACCTCCGCGGCCGCGCTGGAACTGCTCAAGCCCGGGGGGAAGCTGGTCAGCAGCGCCGGGCTGCCCAAGACGGGCAAGGAGGGCGTGCCGATGGCCTTCATCATGCTCGGCGACGTGTACCACGTCCCGCCCAAGCTCGCGTGGCTCTCGGAGTTTCTCGAGAAGGAGCTCGCCCCGCTCTTCGGGTCCAAGGTCGTCCCGTCGCCGCCCAAGGAGGTCGTTCCGGGCGGGCTTGCCGGGGTGGTCCCGGGGTTGGAGAAGCTCAAGGGCGGTGTGAGCGCGACGAAGCTGGTGGTGGAGCTCTGACTTGGACTCGGGAATACAGCTACGTTGTAATGACATGGCATTGCACTTTCATTTCCCCTGGCTAGATCGATTTTCCTGCCTTTGGGACCGTCAAGGGCCCATGAACGGCGAATCCGCACCGATCAGGTCCAAAACCTGGTCAAACGACGCTGGTGGACGCTAAGGGCCGGGTGACTTCGCTGGAGACGGCTTCGGACCTCCCGGAGGCAGTGACTGGTGCCTCGGCGGGAAACCTTTGGCGGCCTCCGAGGCGCCCTCGATAAAGCGCATCGCGTCGTCGATTTTGACCTCGGGAGTGGGCGGCACCTTGGTTGGCTGCGTGGATGCGGACGGCGGATGCGCGCTGGGCGCATGGGGCACCACCTTCCCGCAGCCCGGACATGCGTTGGCGGCGTTGGAGATTCCCTCCACGAGACCCATGGCGTCGTCGATCTTGATCTCCGGCCCCGAGGGTTGGTGTGCCGGCGCGGATGCAGGCGTGCGGGCTGCCTCCGACACCCCTTGGGCAAATGAGAGAGCGTCATCGACTTTGATTTCTGGTCCGGGCCGCGCTGCCTCGGTGACGCCCTGCGCCAGGTTCATGACGTCATCAATCTTGATCTCTGGGGCTGCCTGTGGCGCTCCACCAGGTGCCGGGAGCGGCTTGGCTGCCGCGGTAGCAGCGGCAACGGCACCGGGGGCGGCGTGAGAGGCGACCACGGCCGCGATGCCGATGCCCGCGGCGACGGCGGCGGCACCGACTGCCATCGCAATGCCGACCACTGCGCCGGGGGAGAGCGGGGCTGCAGACTGGGCGGTCGGCGCCTGCGCGGGCGGCACGACGACCTCCCCGAGCGGCGGGCACTGCGCGGCCTCCAGCACGACGTTGATCGAGCCGGCCATGGTGAATGCGAGGAAGGCGCAGATCGCCTCCGATTCCTTGTCGGCCGTCGCAGTGCTGCTCAGCCCGCGCACCGACTCGCAGTACTCGGCGAACGCCGCCGCGGCGGTCGTCTCGAGGCCGCCGGCGCGCAGCGTCTCCGTCGCCGCCGGGTCCGCGTCCAGCCTCGCGCCGCACGCAGCGCCCGACGCGGTGCAGGCGCACGTCTCCAGCGCGGCGCCGCAGCCCGCGCCGCCGTTCCATTTCCCCCAGGCGGCGCGGCACTCGTCCGCCCACGCGCCGCACGCCCCGGCGCACCCGGCTGCAGCCGCACGCCCGGCCAACAGCAGCATCAGCGCAGACGGTAGGAGCGCTCTTGTTTCCGTTACTTTCATCGTCGCTTCGAAGTTCGTTTGTGTTTGTGACTCGAGGTGACGTCGGGGATCCCGGCGCTGCGTCCTTGAGGCTGACCGATCCCGACAGCGAGACATGCACTTATCCGGCCAGGGGTGCATGGTATCTGTCAGATATAGCCGGTTCGTGCCATCTGAATGTCCCGCACTCGTCGACCGCCCTATGGTGGGCTCAGGCGGCTCCCCGCATGCGGTTGCTCTCTGGCGCAAGTCCAGCATCCGCAAAGTCCGATCCTATTCCATCTGGGTAGAAAGGCGATGCATCTATCAAATGTAGCGAAGAGCTTTGCAGTTAGGACCTTCAGATATTGAAACGCCGGCCCGTATGACGAGGACGCCACCCCGAACCCCCTTTCTGCCTACGGCCGCGCCAAGCTCGAGTCGGAGGCCGCCGCGCTGGCCGTCCCCGGCAACCTCGTCGTGCGCACCGCGTGGGTGTGGGGAACAGACAGGGGCGGCAAGAAGAGCTTCACCGACTTTGTGCGGGAGACTTTGGCTGCGGGGAAGGGTTCGCGCATCGTCATTGACCAGTGGAGCAACCCCACCTTGGCAGAGATTTGGCGGGGGCCATCTGGGCCTTGATTGGGGCTGGTTGTTCCGGGCCGGGCTGTACCATGCGGCTGGATCGGACTGGGTCAGCCGCCTCGAATGGGCCGATCGGGTTGCGACCATCTTCGGGCTCGACGCGGGCCTCATCGAGCAGGTCACCACCGCGGCCTTGAACCTTCCTGCACACCGGCCGCTGAAATCGGGGCTGTCGAGCGCCAAGCTGGAGCGCGACACGGGGTTCCGCATGCGAGGGCTCGACGCGCAGCTGGATGCGATCCAGGACCAGGGCTGACGCGCGAATGGTGGTCTCCTTCGCGCGGCTCTCCCCAGCACTGTGAATCATTCGCGTCTCGGACCCGCCCTGCCCGCGACCAGCGCCTTGCTGTGCGGATTTGTGCCTGCCTTGCGAGCCAGGATCTCCCACGCTTGTGGAGTGAATGGCACGGAGGGACACATTCCGGATTGCGCAGGGGGGCTCGCGGCCGCCAGCAGATTCCCGATCGCGGCTTGGCGGAGAGAAGGGCAGCGGTGACGGCGAAGTCCCGGAGGCGCCGCTTAGAAGAGAGCGAGAGCAACTTGACACCGTGCCCTCAGAACTCAGAAGTGTAGATGAGAGTCCGGGAATCGACGACTGCCGGGCACAGTGACGCCGATCGATCATCCCCCGCGGCTGCAACGGATGGAACAGCGCGTTGAGCGGGGTGCCTGCCAGGCGGTCGGACCGTACCGAGGAGCGGAAGGGCACGGCAGAAGAGCACCGAGCCGGAATGCGACCCAGTGACGGAGGTCGCAGAAGCTGCCCTAGTGCGGTCCCGGGGACGGGAAGGGCGGCGGTGCGCGCAGGCCGGGCGAGGCGTCCGGACGGGGAGGGCGAGGGCCACAAAGCGCCCGATCTCGGCGATCTGGATGAGCTTATCTGGGCGTCGATGGTTAAGGGGCATAATAACGCCGACCAATCGCCCGCCGTGGTGGACCAGGTGCGATTTCGGGACGGGAAGGGCAGCGCTGCCGGCAAGCCGGGCGAGGCGTCCGGACGGGGAGGGCGAGGGCCACAAGGCGCCCGATCTCGGCGATCTGGATGAGCTTACTTCGCGTCGATGGTTAAGGGGCATAATTAACGCCTCCCAAATCGCTCCCGAAATGGCGATCGCGTTAGTCCCGGGTTCGAGTCCCGGTCGACGCAGCGATATTTTGCTCGATCGAACCCCCCAGTGTTTCCCTTTTGCTGCTCTGGTGTCGTGGGCGCGGTTTGGGGGCAGTTTCGGAGGTGTAGCGGCTCCAGGCCGCCTGGAGCCGCTCTGGGGCCCGTGGAGCGTAGATCAGCCGGAACATATCCCAAAACGACCGCGGCACACTTGCTTACGACAGTTTACGGTGAAATTTTTGTCCGATCTGTCGCTTTTAGCGATGTGCAAGAGGTGGGGCGGCCGACAGTCGGCAAAGCCGCCGGCGTCGCTTGCCGCGTTCGCCGGCGGCTGGAGACAACCGCAAAACCTCTCGGGCCTGCTCTTCCGCCAGCGCCTCGCTTCCTGTCTCCCTCATTTCGGGCCTGATGCTGATTTGCTGGCTGCCCGGGACCGAGCTGTGCCCGCAGCTGCTCACCTGGACGCGGAGGGTGGACTCGAAACGCGTCCGCGGACAATGTCTCCCCCGGGGCCCGGGCTGATGAAACCGGCTAGGCGCACCTGCGGGGTATCCGTACTGTCCTATTTCGCCTGCCCCTTCGCGGTACCGTTTCACTGCTGGCGCCGGAGGAGCTCCTCCGGCCAGCACACCTCTGAAGCTCACCGGCGTCGGGAGGCTTTGGGATTCCTCCTTCGCCGGCCTTAAAGCTGCCGATTGGCATTGTGGTTGCCTCGAACGATGCGCTCGCCGTGACCTGTCGAAGCGTCGAGGTTTGGGCACGAGTTCAGGAGCTTGACGTTTCGTCGGTACCGGAAAGAAGGAGATCGACTGAACGCCAGTGCTGTCCGGGGATCAAAGTTCGGATACTAGGAGGACTTAGGATGTTTCGATGTGTTCCGCTCCACCAGCATTGGAATGTTCTGGGCGGACCCGAGAGACCCGGAGAGACCCGGAGCGGGGACTCGGCGGCGGAGCCCTCGTTCGGACCTTTGCCCTATTCTGCCTGCCGTATGTTTTGAGCGAAAGTTGCCAATTCTACCTGTTGAACGTTTCTTGGAGGGTCTGGGAGCCACGAGTCGGTGCTGGACAGGGTCTCGGGGTATGAACAGTCCCTGTCGCCGATGCCGCGTGGTCAGTGTGCCGAAGCTCTGGACGATGTTCCTTCTATCATGCCGCGAGCTATGTGATCAACATTCGCTGATTTGAGTGAAGATTGGCGGCTCCGCCAACCTTTTGGCATCCGATCAGTCTCCGGGCCTTTTCCGACACGTCGACGCCGACGGGACATGCCTTCCCCTCAGCTTCTCCTATCCTCGTCGTCATTTCTGCTCGATTCTTTGCTCCTCTCTTTGATTATGGCGGCCTTTTCGCCGACGAACGGCCGATCGCTGGTGCTTGGTCGTGCAGCTGAGCTAGCCCATCGGAGCTCGAGTAGACCAACGACCACCTCGTGCAATAGAAGCCAAAGCCTTCCATCCAATAGATTACCATTCTTGCGGTCCATTGTGTTGTCGATCACACCAGCGCGCGATGGAGGGCATGGGACCGCCGCCCCCATTTTCTTTCCCAGAATTCTAAAGCCAATCGCGGGCACGATGGCGTCCAATCCGTTTGACGACCCTCGTCTGCGGCCTCGAATTCTGCAGTATGAGAGAGAGAGAGGTTTCCGGACGGGCATCTTTCAGGAGGCGTTCGAAATCGCGTTTTCGCATTGCGGTCTCCGCGTGAACTTCGGCTCCACGCCTCCGGAAATCGTCATCGAGGGAGTTTTTGAGCCGGGAAAAGGCGATGATTGTCTGGACTACACGCGCGTGTTCAAGGGGAGCCTCTACGACTGGCATCCGGAAACGAGGACCCTGCGCCTCCGGGGCGGCTGCTACTTCGGCGACACCAGTCAGGACATGGAGGGCCGTGACAGGACGAAACAGGACTATCTGGAAGAGGCGATCCAGAAAGGTATGCTCGCTGTGACGGTTTTGATCGCGCGTCTGACTTTTCCCCGCCCGTAGCCGGCGACGAGTACAAAGCGTTCGCCGTCCAAGTCCCCGACCGCCGCAAGCGGTCCATGATCGAGATCGCAAAAATGGCGCTGGGCAAGATCCTGTACTCGGACGGACCGAACCCGATCCTCAACCGGTCCTGCTTCGGTGTGCTGAGGCACGAGCAGCTGCGCGAGTGGGAGCACGAGGGTGTAGAGCTCGACCTCGTCCTCGAAATCGCAGGCGCGGCTCCTGGGCGCGTGCAGCAAGCCAAAAGGCTGCACATCGTCGACCTGCAGCGGGAATCGGCGCTCTCTGCGTCCGCTGCGTTCCATTTCGCCCGGGAGAACACTGACCTGGCGAACTTGTTCTGGGACTTCGAGTCGGCTGACTTGAAGAAGCAGCTAGCGCAACTGACTCGCGCCGAGCTCTTGGCTCACGAAGATCAGATCAAAGCTTTCGCCATCGAAAAGAGGAAGCGGATCCTGGTCTTCGCCGGTGAATTCGGTCCCCTGTCAATCATTACCAAGCCGGCGGGACCCTTCCTCGACACGCTCGCAATGTCCTGGGTCATCCGGCTCTCCGACGACGTGTTTGCGATCGGCACCACCCGTTGCGATTTCGGTGTCTTCCGTTTCCACAACGACGAGGTGACCAGGGCGCTGAACGACCTCCACGATTTCAAGAAGACGCTGCTGGTCCGGGCGCACAGGTTCCTCGAGGCCCTTCCGCCGGACGAACTCGATCTCGAGGCGACCTACGTCCGCATTAAGGAGGAGATCCTGGATGCGGAGTCCGAGAAGCTCCGGGGCCTGATCGCCGTCGTCAAAAACGCTTTGGACAAGGAGAGAAAGCGATCCGCCGCAACGAACCCAGCCAAGAGCAAAGGCAAAGGTGCGTCGAAAGATGATCCAGCACGCAGCCGTTTCTGCAGCACCTGACGCCGAGGTCCGTGCAGGAGCCGAGAAGCAGCCGCCCGAATGGCGATCCAGCGTACCCGACGCAGCCCTCAACGATCCGCAGGTCAATGCCAAGGTGCGGCAGCTCGATCGCGGCGGAGTGCTCGGGATCGCGAAGGTTGAAGCCGCCGGAGCCATCGATTCGGAGCATCCGAGCGGGGCCGCAGCCGAAGAGCCGAGCGATCCCGAGGAGCCGAACGATCTCGCGGACACACTAGAGGTTCCTGGGCCAACCGACGACGACGGCTTTGCGGAAGAAGACGGGGTTTTCGACGCCGCCATCTCGGAGCAGGAGCTGGAGGAGAAGGCCATCAAGGACAAGGCTTTCGCGACCTGGCTCAGTCGAAAGCTGGCGGCGTCCAATCCGCGGTTCGACGCGATGACGGAGCGTCAGAAAGAGATGGAGCGCACAAAGCTCGCAAAGGAAGCGATCCGTCGTCTCGATCTCTTGAAGGTCCTCAAGCACTACTTCCGCGGCAAGATCACGGAGAAGCAGCTCTTGACCCTCAGCGAGGAAGAGCTCATCGCCCTTGGCCGCCGGTGGTCCTACATCCTGATCAGCCAGACACCGGCCAGCGCGAAGGCCGAGGAGATCAGGCCTGTCTGCTGCGAGAACCTGATGCCGAAAGCCCAGGGCCTCGACGAGACAAAGTTCCTGACCTGTCTCCACTGCAAGCACCAGTTTCACACGGAGCACAAGTGCGCCAAGATGTTCCGAGTCGTCGAGCGCCAGCAGGCCGCCCGGAAGGCCGCCGAGACCGAGGGACCGAGCGGGCCGAGGACCAGGAGCGGTTCGAGTGCTACTCCTTCGTCCTCTTCGGCGCTGGCGGACCCTCCCACGGACTACTTCGCAGTCCTGATGGGCCGTGGTCGGCCGGCGTCGGGAAAGAGGAAGCGCCCCGCCGACGACGACGAGTTCGAGCCGGAGCCCAACGCCGACGATGAACCCGACGAGAACGACGCCGTCGAGAAGTTCGCTGCGCCGGAGAAGAGCTGGAAGATGCAGTACCCGTGCGACTACGTCATCGTTCCCGGCATGACGCAGGAGCAGCACCGTTTGCTCGTGAAGAACCACGTCTTTCGCCGCGTCGTTCGCCGCTTCATCGAGAACGAAAGCCTGCCCCTCGTGATCAACAAAATCCAGATCGACGCAATGGTGGCGAAGGAGGTGCTCGACACGCCCGACGACGTGCATTCGGCGACCTTTATCCAGTTCTACGGCATCGACTTCCTGACCAAGAAGCTCAACTGCGAGAAGGCCGGAAAGGGCGACCGCCGCGTCGCCGCCCTTGCGAACTCGTACGGCCAGACCGTTGAGAACCGCGTCCTCGAGTACGCCATGGTTCACGGATTCACGATCACCCAGTCGGAAAGGCCGCGGGTGAAGAACGAGAGGGACAGGAGCGGCATTAACACGCCGATCCCGCTCTACTGCTTCTCCAATGCGGAGCACCCGGCGCCGAAGAAGTTCGCGCAGCTGGAGCGGAAGGAGCTGCTCCGTTACAAGCACCTCATGGGCATCTGATAGAGGCTGTAGACATTTCAAAGCATTGGCTTCTGCACCCTTGAGGCTCCTATTTCCTTCGCTTTGTCCTCGGTCGACGCGTTCCGAGTTTCCGACCGTCCCAGACTGTTGCCCCGGTCCAATCGCCGCAAGGATCCTCTCCTCAAGCTTCCATTGACATTTGAAGCCCGTTGATAGTTTGATCCGTGTTCATCGGCGGCGGAAGGTGACGCAAGAGAGAACGAACGTGCGCCCAAGTCGCGGCGGGTCGCGGATGGTGGTGCGTGTCACCCATTCAAGCGCGTACTTCGCCTTGAGGGAAGCCGTCTCCACGGTGTCCTTTCTGCCACAAAGCAGCGAGTTCCGGTTCAACCAATGATAGGTTCAAAGGTTCTTTTGCTCCGGGGACGGTCTGGGGAGGTGGAGGAGTGGAGGCGCGCGGCGGGCCTGCGGCCCGCCCGCCGCTTTCGCCCGATCCTCCCGGAAAACCTAATCCAAGCGGGCGGATACGTATCGCTTGCCGGATTTAGAACCTTCTGGTCTGATCATCCATCTTGATCTGCGTCCTTGATGCTGGTTGGGCGGTGCGGAGCCGAGCTACGTAGGTGAAACTCCG